CTGTGATTATGCTTTTTATTCAATTTTTCTTGTGTTCGTGTAAGTATTTTCTTTGTTCGATATAAAGTGTTCAAAAAATGTCCGAATGTTTTATATATATCAAGCGCTTTCTTTTCGGTTATATATATATATATATATATATATATATATATATATATATATATATACAAAAAAAAATCAATAAAAACTATAATCGTAGTATCTTGTCAGTCATCTTTAATAAAACAGCATAATTATATTTATATACAATAATGCTACAATAAATTTAATATTCCATAACGGTGTACACAGATATACATACATATATATATATATATATATATATATATATATATATATATATATATATATATATAGGTGTATGTGTGTGTGCGTGCCTGTGTCTGTCTGTCTGTGTCTCTGTGTGCGCGTTGTGTATGTACGTGTGTGTGTGTGCATAAAAGTGCATTGCATATATATGCACTCATTTGATGTGAAATTGTACTTATGGTCATGCATTATGCATTGACCAATTTGGGATATTTAAATAAGAATTGTTCTGAAGAATATCTCAGCCAAATCGATTAACCTGAATATCTTTATTTCAAGCGGAGACCGTTAGAGTCCTAGACCCAGAAAATAGATTGTTTACGAACATCAGATTTTACAAGTACGCGTTGTACTGTTCGCAGCTTATTTATTATGTTGCATACAAAGATGTTCAAAACGAGAGTGCTTGTAAGTGTTGCCATCAAAATTATCTTTTAACAATGCTCCATATGTTGTTGCTTTTATCCTTGCCAAAAACTCTGGACTTTTATAAGCCCTCAAAATAGATGCTTTTACCTGCACCCCAAATTCTAGCGTTTACGCTCATACATATTTTTTCTTTTTTTTTCCTGCTCATTTTATCCTTTTTCTTTTACTCGCGCTAAATGTTTTAGCTTTTACAAACGCATATCAGGTGGTCAAAATTCTTGCTTTTACCAGAACTTTAGATTTTATCTCAACTCAAAATCCGTCCTTGTTTCAAAATTCAAAATACTTTCAGCTGTGTTATTAATTCTTTATTTTAGCCCCATTCAAAATGTTACATTTTATCCGAGATCAAAAATCTAGTTTTTAGTAGCGTTCAAAATCGTAGTTCTTAGCTGCGCTCAAAGTACTTGTTTCTTGGTCACGTTCAAAATTTTACTTTCAAACGCGTTCAAATTCTAATTCCTAGCCGCGCTCAAAGTCTAGTTCATAACTGCGCTCAAAATTCTATTTCTTACCTGTGTTCAAAATTCTAGTTCTTACCTCCGCTCAAAATTCTATTTCTTACCTCCGCTCAAAATTCTAGTTCTTACATCCGCTCAAAATTCTTTTTGTTACCTCCGCTCAAAATTCTATTTCTTACCTCCGCTCAAAATTCTATTTCTAACCTCCGCTCAAAATTCTAGTTCTTACCTCCGCTCAAAATTCTATTTCTTACCTCCGCTCAAAATTCTAGTTCTTACCTCCGCTCAAAATTTTAGTTCTTACCTCCGCTCAAAATTCTACTTCTTCTCCGTTTTCAAAATTCTCGTTTCTGGTCCTGTCCAAAATTCTCGTTCTTAGCTGAGCTCAAAATTCTCCTATCTCGCCTCAGTCCAAAATTTTATTTTTTTACCTGCGCTCAAAATTCTAGTTCTTACCTACGCTCAAAATTCTAGTTCTTAACCCCACTTAAAATTCTAATTCCTAGCGGCAATAAAAATACTCCTTTCTGATCGTGTTCAAAATTTCTGTCCTTAGGCGCAGGCAAACTTCTCGTTTGTGACACCAGTCTCAAATCTTAATTTTTACCTACACACAAATTGTAGTTCTTTACTGCGCTCAAATTTTTACTTCCTAGCCGCGTCCAAAATTCTCCTTTCTGGACCTGTGCAAAATTCGAATCCTTACCCGTGCTAAAAGTCCTCGTTTCTGGCCCAAGCCAAAATTTTATTTTTTGTACCAGCGCTCAAATTCTAGTTCTTAACTGCGCTCACAATTCTAATTCCTAGCCGCGTTCAAAATTCTCATTTCTGACCCTGTCCAAAATTCGAGTCCTTAGCCAGGTTCAAAATTTTCGTTTTTGGTTAGTTCTTGGCTGCGGTCAAAGTTCTTGCATCATAATACCGCCATTTATATTCGATACTTATACCCCCCCCCCATCTAAAAATAAGAAATATATTATGTGTAGAAGAATCAGATGGGGGAAAGCACTTAATGTGCAATTGCAGAAGTCTGTGAAACGTTAGGCAACACGTATAATTGAAAATTGGCAATTACATTACAAGGATAAACGTAAAAAAACGTTAATTCTAGGTGTATATATATATATATATATATATATATATATATATATATATATATATATATATATATATATATTCGGACTATTGTTCTTATATTCGAGGAAAGGAATAGTTAGCAGACCCTGTGGGAAAAGGGAAGTAAGTACACTGGCGAGTAAGATGCCTAAAAGTATAGTGCATATGCTACTCATGACAGACATCAGTGTTCAACCAGCAGTCAAGGTTAGGTTTTACTCCTGCAATAGGACAACAGTCTAATGAGTTCAATCCGACTTCAGGCAATACTTGCTCTCATTAGAAATGGGTGGTTAACTGAATAATCTTACTTATTATAAAACACAGATTGTGTGTGTGTGTGTGTGTGTGTGTGTGTGTGTATTTTATATTTTCCCTACATTTTCAACCGATTTCAACAAAACTTCACAGAACTGCGTAAAATTAGCTTGCGGTGGTTCTGACAGCGCCAAAAATTGGAAAAACACAATTGTTTTTGCACGAAATCAATTTGAAAACACGATTAAGAGGCAGAAATGAAAGGGATCATATCGAGTTATACTTATTATAAAACCCAGGTTGTTTGTGTGTGTGTGTGTGTGGTGTGTGTGTGTGTGTTTATATATGGGATCGGATTTTTTACATTTTTCAACCGATTTCAACAAAACTTCACTTTTTTTTGGCAGGTAGTGTTTCTTATTGTCTTGCACACTTTTTTTTTTATTTTACATTCAGAATGCTTTAAAAATTCCATTTACAAGACAATTGTTTATAATAAAATTCTATTCAATCGATAGACTCATAACGATTGAAAAACAATGTTTTTGTTTGAGTTTGGGTTTGACCAATTCGTAAAAAAAAAAAAAATAATTAAGACATGCGTGTCCGTCAACCTTAAACAATAATCTTTGTCAATTTTATTTTTCAGTCTTTATGATGGTCGATACTTGATCTATCTCTTATTGTTACAACCCCGGGCAACACCGGGCTCTCCTACTGGTATAAAATAAAAATAAGAACTAAAAATGAAACAAAGCTAGAACAATCTACCTAAGTGTAGATTAAAGAAAGTGTTCAGTTCGGAATTTCTTGTCAGTTGCTCAGCCAGGTTTCAGTTCGAAATTTATTTGATTACCTGAGGAATGCAAAATTCAGAGGCCGAAACGTTTTGATAAAAATTAAAAAGATGAGAACAATAGTCTCAAAATAGTGTAAATGATAACTCATCATCCCAGAAATTAACATTATATATATATATATATATATATATATATATATATATATATATATATATATATATATTAAATTAAAGCCTCCGGATTTTCAGTAAAAGACTTTCAGCCATCTTCCTGTAAGCATTTGTAAGAATCACTGAAAGAGAAAATTATAAAATCGTTTTGTATCAACCCCAGTATAATATTACCAACTGATCAATGATCAATGTTTAGAGGGAAAATATCATTTAAAAGGCTAGCCCGAGCCACTCAGTAAAATGCTCAATGCCTAGACAGAGAAAATAACACTTGACAACATTAACTCTTATAAAAGGATGGCCCGAGTCATAACCAGAGTTTCATTCTCATGCCGTCTTCAGATAAGGTAAACACAATGGTAAGCTAAAGAACAAATCGGAAATGTTTATCACTTTAACATGTTTAACTTTTATTTTCATTCTCTGATGAAGTTTTAATAAAAATGAAACATGTTAGATTAATTAACTTTTATTATTTATTCTTTAGCTTCTGTGAGATTCCTAGTGGAACCAACGGACAATTTGCCAAAAGACTTAACTACCCTTAAACGTGATAAAAACTTGAAGAAGGAAAACAATAAGAAAAAATACCTAAAGGCAAACACCTAGCCACTCAGCAAAGTGCTCACTGCCTACATTATCTAGAAAGAGCAAATAACGCTTGACGAAGAAAATTCCTGTGAAAGGATGAACCTAGTCGTAACCTGAGTTATATATATATATATATATATATATATATATATATATATATATATATATATATATATATTTATTTGTGTGTGTGAGTGTCAGGCTGAAGAAATGATATATAAATTTCTATACGTGTATGTATATCAGAGAGAGAAAGAGAGATATGATATATAAATTACTACATTACAACAATGTTAGGTAATTGCATGACAAATTGTAAAATGTCCTATGTAACAACATTTTCAACCTCATCAAGGGCTTCATCAGACTAAAGTAATGGTTTATATATATATATATATATATATATATATATATATATATATATATATGTTGTGTGCGTGTGTGTCTATTAGTGCGTGTGTGTGTGAGTGCGTGTGTGTGTGACTGCATAGGTAAAGATAAATAACGAATAATGGTTCATAAGGTGATCATAGAATTTTGAAAGATCGTTTTACACACACACACATATATACATGTGTGTGGAGGGGGGTTGTGTGTGCAGTTTGGAAATGTTATTTTACACATATATATATATATGTGTGTGTGTGTGTGTGCGCGTGTGCAGTTTGGAAATTTCTTTTTACATATATGTGTGAGTGTATGTGTGTGCGTGTGTGTGTGTGTGTCTAAACGACCTTTCAAAATTCTCTACAAAAGAATGTATGTCAATAATCAATGCAGGTTGAATGACCGCTTTCCGGTATCCGTTTGACAGTCATCACGACAAAAAAGGTTAATTGTTAGGAGCGCTACCTATTAGGTGAAATTTTAGCTGATTTTTAAATTTCAGTTTTAAAATATCGGTATTCTAGCATTTGAATTATATAATGCCCTCCACCCGCCCTATAAATCAGGCAAGCCAGGTTTTTTTTCTTCCCTACAGCAGAATACGTCAATTATTAATAGGAATATTTCATCATGATTTACTTTAAATGAGGATCTGATTTCATGTTTGTTTTGTTAATGTCGTTTTCAATTTTTTTGTAGTTACCTTCACATAGCATATGAATGTGTTCACACGTTAAAGCTATACGTTTTATTCATTTCTAAACGAATAGCCGAAAGCGCTACGTTTTAACCTCGACGATCATGATTCCTCACAGATTTCTGTTTTAGTTGCTCTAAGTTAGTAGTTCCAAATATTTTTTCAGTCACGAATCCATTTACATGGGCTCCTCTAAGAACTAGCCCTTCATACGCTGATAGACAAGCACATACTCACAGTCTGATTGCTTTTTCACATGAGTTGTACGTGCATTTCTTCAAACTGCGCCCTCATGCACTCTGCACGCAGATCACTTTTAAGTCACCCACGCTTAAAATAAATTGTCGTTAATTAACACTCACGTGGAACTAGAACAATCTACCCCGGATGAAATAAAGTGTTCAGTTCGAAATTCCAATCACCCGAAGAAGGCCGGAACGTAACACTATTTACATTATTCGAACTATTTTCCTCATCTTTATCGCCATATTTATTACAACGTTTCAGTCGTTGAACGCTCTCGCCTTCTTCAGGTGGTTGGAATATCGAACTGAACCCTCTATTTCGCTCACTGGGGTAGACTGCCCAAGTTCCACGTGCCATGTTCAATGCATGTCAACTATCAGTTACCTCCTGTTAATTTTCCCTCTGCCTTAACCGGGTAATGAACTCACACTCTTTGGGTCCTGTCACTGGATCTAACCAACGCCTTTATCCACTGTGCCATGTGTCCTTGAGGACATCTGTCTATGGATTTCTGGGTATTATACCTTTATAATAAATATGGCAACAAAGATGAGGACAATAGTCCGAATAATGTAAATAGTGTACATAATATCCCCTCTCAGAAATATAGACATATTATGAAGGGTCGAATGATGTAATAAATATGGCGACAAAGATGTATATATACAATAATCCGAATAATGTAAATAGTGTACATAATACCTCATCTCAGAAATATAGAGACACATACTGAAGGGCCGAAACGTTGTAATAAATGGCGACAAAGATGATTTTAATAATTCGAATAATGTAAATAGATTACATTACCTCATCTCAGAAATATAGACACATACTGAAGGGCAGAAATATTGAATAAATATGGCAGAAATTGAGGGACAATAGTCCGAATAAAAAATGAAATGTTGTAAAATAAATATGGTGAAATTTGTAAGAAATATGGTGAGATGAAACAATAAATCGAATAATATAGTGTACATAATACCTCATCTCAGAAATATAGACAGATACCGTTTTAGTTGCTGTTGATGTTCAAAGTAATTCGAAGACACTTTGCACTATTGATCTGAGAAAGCATTAAAATTAAATATGATATTTTAGATGCTTCTGAACAAATTTGACGCTATTTGTAATATCTGTGTGAAAGTCTCCATCTCACCAAGGCTATTTAAGTATATGACATGATATTCTACGCTAATGCTTGATTTTTTTTTAGCAATTTCTTGTGTTAATCGAAACTATGACGAATGATGCAATGAAAAGAAATACATCTTTTTGAGTAGCACAAGTGCTTTAAGGGAGAATGAAATGATTTATACAATGACACAGATTTTAACCGATCAAAAACACAATGGTTACATGCAGTTGTTTATTTGAAAGCGCTTTTCGGAGAAAATGATCCGAAATTTGACCTGAGAGGACGCGTTAGGAGTTTGCGTTTGCCTGATAAATAAATCTATTACAAAAATGACTATTACAGAGATTACTTATTTCCAAAACAGTTCTCTGAAGGGGAGACATTTACTGCTTCCCTGGCATCCAGGAGTACATGATTATATTACTGAAAAGAAATTTCAAGAATGTTTCCAGAAATGGCACTACAAGTGGCAGTAGCAAGTAGGGAACAGGTAAGTAAACCAATAGAGCCATTCCATTTATTAAGTTGTCACACCTACGAATGTAGATTTACTGTTAAGCTTAACATCAAGGTTATTTATAGTTAACTTTAAAATACCCGACCAGCTAGCATTGAAAAGAAGTTCAGACTGCAGTGGCAATGTGGTATAATCCAAGTATCAACGAATGTTTTACGAACTCTAGATAAAGGAAGAATGGTAACGATATTTGACGAAGAAATACAATTGATTTGGTATTTGCTAGAAAAAGTAAAATGAAAAGCAACAATATGAAAAGTCTACTAAGCAGAAAAAAAACATATTGAGATATAGTTATACAGTTAATTTGATGGCTGCCTTGCAAACAGAAGTAAAGCAGAGTCGGAAGGGCGGGGAAACAAAGGGTTGAGAAAGAATCCC